AGTTTCAGCCAGCGGGAGCCCGAAGCCACTTGAATCTCCTGCGTTAAATTTTGGGCTACATCCAGCAGGAGCCCAAAAACCACCTGATTTTTTTCCATATATTAAATTCTGGGCTGCATCCAGCAGGACCCCAAAGCCACCTGAGTTTCCCAGGATAAATTTCAAGCTGCAGCTCGCTCTCAGCCTACCAACACCCCCAAAAGAGCAACACACAACCAACAAACCCTCCCCAGGGAGCCAGCACGTTTCAGGCAAAACCCAAACCGAGCCAAATCTCAGCAGCCAGCAGGGCACGAGGACAACACACACGCACAACACCACGACCCCACGAGCAAAGCAGCCCCCCAAAAACCCTCCCCGAGCTCACCTCGGCTCTCCATCCAGGCAGACAGACCCCAGGTAAGGTGTGGGCACGTTGGGGCTCCCCGCAGCCTTTTTATGAACCCCGTTGCAGCCCCGCAGCCGGGGCAGGCGGGAGGGAGGCATGCGCTCGTACCCGTGAGTCAGCAGCTCCGCTCGGCGCACCGTAAATCGCCGCTGATTCACACCCCGCTTACACAGCAAACAGGAAACTCAGGTCCACATTCCCTCCGTTTAAGACACGGAGCGTTCAGAGGAGGAGGAAAAAAAAAAAAAAAAAAAAAAAAAAAAAGACCCCCCCCCCCAAAAAAAAATCCAAAGTCACGCCGAGGTGCGCTCATCTGCTCACATGGCTCCTGACTTCGAGTTTCCAGCGCATCACCGCTGCCGAGAGGAAAGCCCCGCGACTTCCACGCCGGCGGCACGAGCTCCACGGACGGGTCCCTGCTGCCCTCGGGGACGCGGTGGCACCGTCGGGTCCCATGGGTGGCACCGTCACCCACGGGTGGCACCCACGGACACAGCCCCCCTGCATGGGGGGCTCCCCAGGGACCCCCTTGGGTTGCCCCCAGCCACGCACAGCGCTCACCGAACCACCCCAACCAGCGTTGAACGAGAGGCGATTTGGGGCCGTTTCGTCCAGAATAGGGTCAGCTTGTTGCTATTTTTTTTTTTTTGCTATTTCCCAGCTCTACCAAACTCACTTTTTTTTTTTTTTAATTTATCGCCGTGCTGCACACACAGAGCCATTCACCCCTTACCTCCCCCCCCCATCCCATTATGACCCCACGACCCCCTAACCCCCTTTTTTGGGGTTTGGGGATTTTTTTTTTCCCCAGCTGGACCAAAATCACCCTTTTTTTAAAAAAAAATTATCAACATGCTGCAAGCACAGAACCCTTCACCTTTTAACCCCCTGGCTGCCCCCTTACGACCCCACGACCCCTTAATACCCCTTTTTAGGGTTTGGGGATTTTCTTTTTCCTAGCTGGACCAAAATCACCATTTTTTTCCCAAAAAAAATATCAACGTGCTGCACACCCACGGCGCTTCACCAATGGTCCCCACGGTCCTCCCCTACACCCCAAACCCCCCCTACACCCCCCTACACCCCAAAACCCCCCTAACTACCCCTTTTACACCCTTATTTACACCCCTTTACACCCCCTGACCCCACGCCCCCCAGCCGGGCTGTGCCCGCAAAACGGCGTGGGCTGCCTACAGCCCGGGAACGGAGGGAAAGAGAAGGGGGTCTCAGGGGTCCCTATATCGGTCCTGGGGTCCCCAGATCCCCTCCTGTCCCCGCTCCTACCTCTGGGCACGGACATGGCTGGCGACGGCCCCGCAGCGCCCGGGCAGAGCGCGGCGCCCGGCGGAGTCCGGCCCAGCGAGGCGGGCGGCGGAGGAAAAACAGCGAAAGGCGGGGCCCGGCGCCGGCCGGCGGAGCCCCGCCCACTCGCCTGCGGAAAGCCCCGTTCCGATTGGTTGACAGCGGGGAGGGGGCGGGGTTATCTCACCGCCCACCCTCGCGGGGGGAGTTTTATGGTTCACGAGCACGGTGGGCGGGGAGCGGTGACGCGGGCGGGGGGGGGGAAGAACGTGGCTGCCCGGGGGTGCGGTGACTCACGGCATCCCCGCGGCCTCTCCGCGCGTTTTGCCCCTTTCCACGTCTCCCCCTTCCCCGCACGACCCCCCCCGTGCTCGGGGCTGAGCACACGCCACCCCCACGGCAAGGGGAAGCAGGGCAAGCCACCCGCCTGGGCTCCCCAAAAATCCTGCTTGCCCCCCCCCAGGGCTCCCTGCTGGGGCAGGAGGGGTGCAGGGATGCAGGGATGCAGGACTCAGCCCGGCCAGGAGCTGAAAAAAAACCACAGACACACCCCATGAAGCTGCCACCATGCTGGGGGGGTGCCCTGCTGCAGGACATTCAGCAGCACCCCCAGCCTTGCACCCACACCCTGGCACCCTTGCTCCATCCTCGGCGGCGCGGGGCACCCAGGGCTCTCCCCAAGCCTTGGAAGGGGCTCCCAAGGCTCTCCCCAACCCCCCGTCGCACCCCGGAGGAGAATCACCCACATATCTGCAGCCCTGATGCATCAGGCTCACCTGCCTGCACGTGCCTCCTGCCCCGGGGCGATGCAAGGGTCCCCTCCCCATGCTGCAGCCCCATGGGCACCTGGCCCAAGCGTGGGGACCCTCAATGGTGATGCCACCGTGTCCTCCGTGGGTCCTGCTCGGGGTCACCCATGTCCCACCAGCCAGCCATGAGTTGTCCCAGCAGCGTCCCCACCATCCAGAGCCTGCTGTGAGTGCAATTTTTTGGAGAAAACACCTAGAATATCTCAGGGGGGTACAAGGGAGGGGTGGTAGTCGAGCACAGTCACTCATGGTTCTGATCTGGGCTTTGCAGCATGTTTTGGAGAGGTTCAAGAGCTGGAAAACCTGCCTGGAATACAGAAAAGAAGGGGCTGGGGGCTGCGTCTACAGGGGGCCAGATGCCTCGGCTGGACCTTTAACCCAGCAGCCGCAGCGTAACAGCCAGCAGCTGGAAATGGAAGCAAGAAAAGTTCAAATGAGAAATAAATTACAGGTTTTTAACAGCGAGCAATTATCTCCCCGAGAGAGAGAGAGACGTAGCAGATTCCCCGCCTTTCAAGTCTTCCAACACACGCGAGGAGCCTTCCTAAAAAAAAAAAAAAACAAAAAAACTCGACCGCAGGGTTATTAGCGGTGACGCACAAGGGCTGCCGGCTGCCCGTGTCATCCCCCAGGCCGGGCGAGTAGGCGGTGGGATCGGGATGGACTTTTCTGGCTTTTTGCCATCCCGATTTCTGAATCAGCAGCGGGGCTGATAGCTCCGGAGTGGCTGATGCGAGTGGGTTTGGGCTCGGTGGCTGCCAGCGTTATTTCTCCTGGCTGGAGCCATGCACGGGGCAGAGCAGGGGCAATCGGCCCAGGTTATGTCAGCTGTGTCCCAGTGTCCCAGTGTCCCAGTGTCCCAGCATCCCAGTTCGAGGAGTCCCAGAAATGTCTGTGGACTGTCAGCACTCCTGGAGGAACACAAACACCACCTCTCCGTCCTCCTCTCTCCTCAGGTTTCCCAAATTGACTCCCTCCAATATCGCTGTGTGCTCAGGGGCATCGCCAGCCCCTCACGGCCCCAAGCCGGGTGCAGGATTTGGCCCCTCTCTCCCTTCCCTGCTGCTGCTGGACGGTGACAAGTAGCAGCACCGGTACCAAAATCAGCACCAGTAGCAGCACCAGCACTGGTACCAGTACCAGCACCAGTAGCAGCACCAGTACAGCTGCTCTGCTAATCACCACAGAGCAGGCCGCACGGGCAGCACCAGTCCAGCAGGGTTGTGTCCCAGTGTGGCACCAGTAAGCCAGGCCGGAGAGCCCTGTGTGCCAGCACAGGGCCTGCACAGGACCAACACAGGACATGAAATGACAGAACGTGAGGGATTGGAAGCGGCCTTGACGGATCAGCCGGCCCCATCCCCGTGCTGGAGCAGGAACACCGCCATCAGGTCACGCAGGAACAAGGCCAGGAGGGTTCCAGAGAGGAGCCCACAGCCCCTGGCAGCCTGTCCCATGCTCTGTCACCTCGCCCTGACCATGTTTTGTCTCATTGAAGCAGAACCTCCCCTGTTCCAGCTTGCCCCCATTGCCCCTCGTCCTGTTATTGGGTGTCACCAAGAAGAGCCTGGCTCTGTCCTCCTGACAGTCACCCTCGGTGTGTTGAAACACGCACAGGACCAGAACAGGACCAGTACAGGATCAGTGCAGGACATGCACAGGACCAGCACAGGACCAGTGCAGGACCAGGACAGGACAGGCACAGGACCAGTATAGAACCAGTACAGGACATGAATAGGACCACTACGGAACCAGTACAGGATGCGCACAGGATGAGTAGAGGATGTGCACAGGACCAGCACAGGACCAGTACAGGAGCAATATAGAACCAGTACAGGACCAATATGAGACATGAGCAGGGCCAATGCAGGACCAGTACAGGACCAATATAAGACCAGTACAGGACCAATTCAGAACCAGTACAGGACAAGTATAAGACCAGTACAGGATCAATATAGGGCACACACAGGACCAATACAGAACTAGTATGGGACACGCACAGGACCAATATGGGACACGCACAGGACCAGTACAGGACCAATATAAGACCAATACAGGACCAATATAGGACCAATACAGGACCAATACAGGACCAGTACAGGACCAATATGGGACACGCACAGGACTGGTACAGGAATGATATACAACCAGTACAGGACTGACATAGGACCGATACAAGACCGGTACAGGACCAGTACAGGACCAGTACAGGACCAATATAGAACCAGCACAGGACATGAATAGGAGCAGTACAGGACCAGTATGGGACATACACAGAACCAATACGGGACACACACAGGACCAGCACAGGACCAATATGGAACACACACAGGACCAACACAGGACCAGTATAGCACCATATAGCACCAATATAGCACCAGTGCAGCCCCCCCCAGCCCCCCCTTTGCGGTGCCGCTGCCCCTTTAAGCGCCGTGCGGCCGCACCAAAACAAAACGGCGCCGCGCCCATTGGCTGCCGCGCGGGCACGTGGCGCCCCGGCTGCCTTCCTGCGGCCGCGCGCCGCCGGCGGCCCCGGCGCTGCTGCCCCGGCCCGGCCCCGAGCGCGGCTCCCGCTGCTGCTGGGGAGGGGGGGGGCGGGCGGGCGTCATATCGCGACTTATCGCCGCCCTATCGCGGCGTATCTCTCCCGGCTATGGCCCATTCGGCTCCTCTCGGCCTCCTGGAGCAGGGCTGCCCCATCCAGGTGGAGCACGATCGCAAGCGGCGGCAGTTCACCGTGCGGCTCAACGGTAAGGGGGCGCAGCGGGCACTGGGATGGGCACCGGCACCCCCCCGATCCCCCATATCCCCTCCCCGATCCCCCATATCCCCTCCCCGATCCCCCATATCCCCTCCCCGCAGTGCCCCCTGTGCTGCCCACAGGCCCTTCTCCAACCCCCCTGACCCTAAAAGCTGCCCCCCCTCCCCCAGCACCCACCCATGGGTGCCCCCCACCCGTGGGCACCCCAGTAGGGTCGGTTATAGGGTGGGGGGCACGCATTTGGGGTGCTGCTGCGCCTTTCCGGCATGCTGAGGCTCCCCCAGGCACCGTCCCCTTGAAAAAATCCAAATATTTGGGGAGTTTGGCCCCCCTGGGGTTGTCACCCTAAAAAAGGCTTTGCCACCCTGCAGGAGTTCTGAGGGATTTGGGGTTAAAAAATAATAATATTAAAAAAAAGTGAAGGAACTTAAAGAAAAAAAAAGCACAGAAATCCTACACGCTGGGAGGTGTTCTCGGTAAAACAACAGGAGCCGGCTGGGGTTATTTTGGGCTTTTCTCCCTCTTTTTTTTTTTTTTTTTTTTTTCTCCTTCCCTTCTTTAATTTCAACCGCTAATTACAAAGCGCAGGCTGGAGGCTCGGCGGCGGCGGGGTACGCAAGGAGGAGACGGGAGGCGTGCGTGCTGGGTGCGGAGAGGGCGATTTCCCCGGGTGCTCCTTGCAAAGAGACAGAGATCAAACGAGGGCCCCGGCACCGCCAGGGCTGCGGCTGCCCCAGGAGCTCACAGGGACCTGGAGAAAAAAAAAAAGTTATAGGGGAAAATGAACCCCTCTGTTGGGGTTTGCCGGGTTGCCACCCTGTGGGTCAGGTAGGATTTGGGGAGTGAGGATCCAATGTGGGTTTCCCCAGGTGCTTGGATGGGTTTTGTGTTGTTTTTTTTTTTTTTTCAATTTTTTCCTTTTATTTTTTTTTTCCATTATTTGGGGGAATTTGGTGCTGGGCAGCACCATGGAGCTGTGGTGTGGAGGTGTTCCTGCCCTGGGCTGACTGAAGGCAGGGTAGGTGATGGTCCTGAGCTGCGGGACTGCACTTTTGGGGCTCGTTGCCCTCATAGCCCCACTCCTGGCGGGATGAGGATCAGCAGAGCTGAGTGGATTCCTCTATAGGATTTTGGGTTCCCTGTGACCCGTGTGGCCCTCCTAGAGCACGTTTGCCACTTGCCATGCCCTGTGCCGCGGGTGAGCAGCGGCCCTTGGGGCGAACCCAGAGCTCGCTGCGGTGGCACAGCCCCGATTTGAGGAGGTGCTGGTTGGGATCTCGCAGTGGTGCTGTGCTCGAGGCAGTCCCTGTGACAACAACAGGCCCGAGACACCACGAGAGCCGTGACGTAGCCGTGGAAGTGCCGCGTTTCAGCGTCGCCTCCTCCTCTTCCCCTCCGCGCCCTCGTGCAGCCTCCTGGCGGGATTCCCTGCTCGTAGGCAAGAAACAAGGGCTGCGTTCGGGTGCTTTCTCCCTTGCCCCGTCATCCCCTCCCTCCGAGCCCTCGGTGCCCCGTGTGGTTTCCCAAGCTGACAGTCAGCTGTGCCACGGTGACACCTTCCCCTCTTCCTTCGCAAGCCAACTGCAGAAGCGTTGGGGAGCTGCAAGAAAAGCAGAGCGTAACCAGACCTCGCCGAGCTTCGCTGTCCCCTCGGAGAGGAGGAGGGCAGAGAGGAGCCCAGCTGGATCTGTCATCAGCTGCGATGTGACTAACGGCACGAGCTGGCTAACGAGCACTTCTGGGCAAAATAAGAAACTCAGAGAGATTCCTGCCCCGAAGTAGCCACGGGTCGGGCTACCTGCTGGTGGGGCAGGGGCGCAGCGCTTTGGGCAGAGCCCTCCTTGATTTCTGAGCATCCCTCGAACACCGCGCTCTCTGCTGAGTGCCTCAGGCTCCTCTGGGATGCTCGGGCTTCATGTGCGTGGTCCCCATCGTTGGGCACGTGGGCGCAGCGAGCCGTGCTTCCAAACCTCCTGTTCCTTCCCCAGCTGCCGGCTTTGGGCAGGATCCAGCTGCTGGGAGCTTTGCCTGGCTCGGGCTCGTTCAGGTAACCCGGAGCCCGTCGTGCCGTGGTGCTCTCCTCCCTGCCGCGGGGTGGAAGGGAACTGGCTGAGCTCTGCATCAAGATGGCACCGCGCTTTTTCCCCATGCCACGGACCTCGAGAAAGCTCCTAAACAGGAAACTGCAGCACAGCAGCCGGGGCCCCCCCTCGCCGCTCCGGCAGCGGGGCCCGTCGGGGACGGCTGCGCTGTCTCCGCTCGGCGCCGCCTGCTGAGGTCTGCTGGGTTCCCTCCCGGCAGCGCCGTGCCAGTCGCTCCGTGGGGAGCGAGGCCGAGCCGGGGAGCTGTCCTGGATGGGGCTGCGTGTGTTCTTTAGGATGTCTTGTCCTTGGGGATCACCCCACAGGCAGCTTTTGGCAGCGGAGGAGCCGAGCTGCCGGCCCTCTCCTGGCCCCTGCTCTGCGCCTGCTGCGGCCCTTCCCTGGTTTGGGGCTGGGGCCAGGCTCGCTGCCTCTTCCCCCTCATCCCCCTGTGATTTGCAGCTGTGAAATGGGGTTGTAGGATGGCATCTGCTCCTCTCTGACCAGCAGGGAAGAGGTGACTGCTCCTTCAGCCCCTTCCCACCCTGCCCGTCCCAGCGGCTCACCCCAAACCCTCTGAGATAGAGGGGAGGCAGGGAAGGGTCCCCAGCAGGGACGTGGGGTTGGCTGTGCGTTGGCCACAGGGGTCTGGGGCTGTAGAGGCGCTTTAAAAGAGCTTTTTGGTGAATTAAAAGCTGAGAGGGGCAGGGCTGCTGCCTGTAAATACCCGGGGGTGGCAGGGAGAGGAGGGATTTATGTCCACCCAAGGACAATGCTGGCTCAAGAACCAGTGGGTAGAGACCGGCAGGAATAAACTCGGGCTGGGAATGCCAAATCCTCCATCCCGTGCAGGAGATGCCTGAAAGCTCCAGGTGCCTCTCTGTGCTGAAGTCTGGGCTCTGTGGATGAACCCGGGGGGGTATTATTAGCTCTCCTCTCATTTACATGTGTGTGAAACTTCTTTCTTCCTGTATCTGAACTGGTGTGAGATGTGTCAGCGCGGTGACAAGAAGGGTGTGTGTGTGAATGTGCACACACCCGTGCACACCTGCCTGCACTTCCCTCTGTCTTTTTAGGATCAGTCTCTCTCAGCATCTTCCCCCCTGTCCTTGCAGGGTCCTGAACACAAAACCCCAAGAATTCTTGTCCCATTTTACAGATGATGACAAAATCCTGCAGAGGGGAAGGAACCAGCTGTTACCTGGGCCGGCTTTTCCTGTTCTTTCCCTTCTTTTTGCTCCTGACCCCGTCAACGCATCTCACCCCTCTGCTGCCAGCTGCTTTCCTACCCTAAATGTGTTGTGTTGGTGTCAGCACTCAAATTAGGGTGGTTTGGGAAAACTCACCCCTTTTCCAGGGGCTCGGGAAGCCTGAGCTGCCCCAGCTTAGGCATGGGGAGCAGCACCGTCCTCCTGGGCCACCCCAAACCTCACCTCTCTCTTTCTCGTGCCCCCCAGGTTGCCACGACAGGGCAGTGCTGCTCTACGAGTACGTGGGGAAGCGGATCGTGGACTTGCAGCACACGGAGGTCCCGGATGCCTACCGAGGAAGGGGAATAGCCAAGCACCTGGCGAAGGTACGGCCGCTGCCAGCCCTGGGGGTTTGCTGTCCCTATCCGACAGCAGGCGGAGGCACAGGGAGGCGAAGAGAGGTCCCAGAGGAAAAGGAGCACGTTTTGGGGTGACCAAACCCCCAGAAGGGACGTGTTAAGCCAGCCCTGCTGCAGCCAAGAGCTGGGATGGGGATGCTGCGATGCAGGGGGGTTGTTTTGGGGGAGCTGCTGCAGCAGGCACTCTCCCACCCCTTTAGGTTAGCAAGAGGAGCCCCCCAGCTCCAGGCACCTCTTTTTTTGGGGACACCTCGGCGGGGCAGCCGGGCTGTTTTGCCTTCCCTTCCCTGTGCCCTGGCGTGCTGGATGGAAACGGGTGGTCAGGCGTTCCTATTTCTGGCCACGAGAGGGGCTGGGTGAGTTCCAGCGCATCCGGCCGCTGCCCAGCCTCTGCCCTCTCCTCCTCCCTCGCTCCCACCCTGCTTTTGCTGGGGGCTGGTTCAACCTCTCCCCCCTGCAGCTCACCTCAAAGCTTTTCAAGGCCCTCCTGGGCCTTTTTCCTGCCTTGAGTCCTGCTTTGGGGGCTCGCAGCCGTGCAGGGAGGGCTGAGGGGCTGCTAGCAGGATATCCGTGCTCCCCCCAGCCTTCTCTCTCGGGTGGGAGCACAGGGGGGCTGTGAGGTTTCGGGGGGTGCTGTTTGTAACCCATCTTCTCCGTTTCGTCGCAGGCAGCCTTGGACTTTGTGGTGGAGGAGGACCTGAAAGCTCACCTGACGTGCTGGTACATTCAGAAATACGTCAAGGAGAACCCGCTGCCGCAGTACCTGGAACACTTGCAGCCTTAAGGCAGGGCAGCTCCCGCCACCAGCACGCCTGTCCCTGACTGTTCAACGCGGCCTTCGCTTCTCTGCAGTCTCAGGAAACCCCCTTCCGCACTCACAATTCCCTTTTTTTTGTTGTTTTTTTGTTTTTAAAGCGTGTCCATGTGGCGCACGAGCGTGGGCACAACCTCCTCCTCCCTGCCCACGTGCGAGCATGGCTGCGGCCCCTGCACTCCGGGCACGTTATGTGCCCCCCGGTGCTTTTCATCCCGAGCCAGAGGGTGGAAGAGGATGATTTTTGCCCCAAACTCCATCACGAGAGCAGGGGATGACTCTGTCTGCGCCTCGTCCTCTCTCCTCTGCTTGGCAACAGCTGTGAACTTGCTGGGGGATGTTGGTTAGGGGAGAATTGTGGGGTCCCAGCCCCCTTTCCTCCTGCAGCTGGGGGAGATGCTGTGGATTAAGCCTCGTGGAGCAGAGGGAGGTGCTGGAGGAGCCCCAGCCCCGTGGCAGGAACATCTCCTGCAGCAAGAACATCTGCTGAGCGCCGAGCTTTGCCCGAAGCCCCATGGGGTGCAGCTGAAACCGTGTGGGCAGCGGTGGTGCGGAGATGCTGAGACACTGAGACCTCTGAGCCGGGAGAGAGGAGCTGCGTGGGGACCAGGCATCATCTGCAGAGGCTGTGGCAGTGCATTCGGAGGGAGAAACACGGCGTTGTGGTGGGTTAATGCTCTTGGAGGTGCCAGCTTTTGCCTGATCTTCTGGACACAGCCCCACACAGCATCCCGCAGGGTCCCCGGCTGTCGTTCTGTCTGTGCTGCCTGCTGGTGAGGGCACAGCCTGCCCAGAAGTGCAGCCCCAGGGTGGTTTCCTGCATAGCTGAAGAGGAAGGCTCCTCGCATCTCCTTCATCTCCAGATCTCCACCTGTCTGTGCCTCGGATCCAAAGGTCTGAGCCGACACCACATCCTGAGAGCAGCAGGGCTGAGGCCTCAGGGATCTGGTCCCGTCTCCAGGGCTCGATGCTGGAGCCACCCAGCTCCGTGTGGATGCTGTTCACTCCTCACGGCCTTTGGAAAGCAGCCCTGATGCAGGGCATTGCCCCTCTGCTCACCGGCCCCCTCGCAGCCCCGTGCCCGGGGTGCTGGCAGCGTGCTGGGGTGGAACGCCCTCGCCGTGCACCGCTACCTCCGCGGGCAGTGACCCCGTGCACGGCTCAGCATTGCTGCAGTCGGACGTAGAGGTAATGCCGTGACAGCAGGGCGCTGCTCAGCTCCTGTTTGCCACCTCTTCTGCCTCGTTTGGGCTTTTCTGAGCGAGACCCCAGAGGTTTTCACCCCCAGCTCTCAGGATTTTGTGAGGCACCGGGGCTGGGCTGCTCGGTCAGCAGCTGGGGGCTGCAGGCAGGCAGCAGGAGATGAAGAGCCTTTCACCCGGAGCTCAGATCCAAACTTAGCTTATCTCTCAGCAGGGACTAAAGTTTACAACCTGTGCCACGGGCTGAATGAAGCCTGGGGCCAGGCAGCGGCTCAGCTCCTTTCCCAGAGCCAGAGGAGGCAAAGGAAAAAGCTCCCGCAGCTTCTGCTCCTGGGTGGGTCAGCTGGAGATAGAGACCCCGTGTCCAATGTTAGCCAGGGAGGTCCTGATCTCTTCTGGCCACCTTCCTGTGCTTGCAGGCTGCCTGCTGCCAACATAACGCAGTTTTCTGCACACTGGCTTGAGTCAAACCTCCTGAGCTCTGCCCCTGCCGCAGCGCTGAGACCCCTGCCCGTTTTTACCACCCACCTTGGCAGGGACCTGTGCCGAAAGGCACCAGGCGCAGCGCCGTCTCTGCCCTCTTGCTGCCTCTCTCAGCATGGCTGCAGCCTTCAGGATGGCTTCGAGGGGCTGGGGAAGGGTCATGGGTAAAGAACTGAAGAAAAGCGGCCCGAGAAGACAGCCAGGCTGCTAAACACTTGCTTTTTAACATGGAAAACGCTTTGACATCTAGTTCCAGGAGCAAGGCTGGCTCTGTTACAGCCAAGCGATGACAGAACCATCCCTGCTCTGGGTCCCAAAGTGAAGCTGAGTGAAGCCAAGCCAAGCCACCGTTGCACCTGCGTTGCAGCAGGGCTGGGTGCTCGAAGAGATCTGTGCCTGGGTGCCTCCTAGGAGCAATAGCACGAGCCTTGGTTTTGGGTTTGCGCAGGTTCCCACTGTGTGGCAGCTCCCAGGAGCTCCCCATCTCCATGGAGGATGCACAGGCAGGGCTCAGCGTCCCTGCAGCCCTTCGTGCTGCTCCAGCAGGACCCTTGTGCTTCCCAGTGCTGGATCGTGAGCGGCAATCACTGCCTTAAATCAGGCACAGTACATGGATTTGCTGCCGCATCCCTTCGAGGTGCTACAACCCCTCCGGTGTCCGACCCGACGGAGATGTGCCGGTTTCCGTGCCAACTGTTTTACTGCTGTACCCATCCTCCTGCCCCAGCCCCGTGCCGTTTGAGGTCGGCAAAAAGCAATACCCACCGGTCACCAGCGATGCCACCAGCCGCTGCGCCGCTCATCCCTGCGGGAAGGAGCTCCCTGCGCTGCCCCTTGGTGCTGACCCAGCCTGGAAGAGCCGGGATCCTGAACTCTCTCCGGCGACAGGAGCGTGGAAGTGGTGTGGTTGAACAGTGAGGTTCCCCAAGCCTGTTTGAACTACAGACTTTCATGGGTGGGGAGATACAAATCGCTGTCAAAGCCGCTTCCACCTCGCCCAACTTGAAACTCCCCCTCCCTCATCCGCTTCCCAGCGTTGTCTTCCTCTGTCTGAGGTTTCTGTTCTGTTCAATTTGGTGGTTACGATGTGCCTTTCCTTCTCAGGACCTGTTACAAACGACCTTTCTGCTTTTGTTTCTAACATTTATCTTTATCCCTCCTCTGTCATACTATAAAACATGAACATATTGCATGGAATACAGTACAATAAAAAGTGTGGCTTAACTCAGCGGCGGAGGTTTGCTGAATGCAGGGACAGGAGGAGGTGGCCGGGGGACCTCAGGCATCCCTGGCCCTGTCCCCACTGGGCTGGGTCACCTCGGCAGAGCCAGTTGCACAGGTCTCGTCAGACAGCTCTGTCTTCCAGGCTGTGTCCAGCGTGATTGCTGCAGCCACTGATGACAATTAGTCATTTTCTACATAAATCTCTTTCTCATCTCCCCCAAAAAATGAGTCCTCTAACGCATCCGACCCCAGCTCTCTAGGTTATTAACTGCTGTGCACGTCTGTGTCTTGGAGAGGGGGCAGAAGTTGGCAGATGTACTCAGCAGCCACCCTCCTACTGCCTGCTCCCACCACAAATGAGCGGGGAGGCAGGAGCTGAGGCTGCTGGCTTTTATTTTGGGTCTTAAGGCTGCCTGACGGCGATAACTGCAAAGAGTTTGGGGTGAGGGGGATCACAACTAATCCTCCCCTGCTCCCACAAAGCAGTCCTGCCTCCAAACAGTCCTCAGGAACAATCCTGCAAACGCAGCCTCTCCCAGACCGGCGCTAAACGCTTGTGTTCGTCTGCTGAAGGTGTTTGAAAACATGAAGGCACGAACCATTTAAATAGCCGGTTAGTGGAGCCCTTCCCTCATAGGGGAGCAGGGCGGGCGGGCAGGTGACTCAGAGGAACACCAGGCGCTTCCCTGCGGGGCCCAGCACCCAGAGCTATCACCCTGGGGCTCCTGGCCAGTGTGTTTACCTCCTGAAGATGGGCTCAAGCCTCGGAGGCCAAGGCTGGACCAGCAGTAGCTGAAAATCCAAAGGGGTAGCGGTGGGCAGAAGGGGCACGGCTTAGCTCCGGTTCTGATTTGCCCCAGTGTGACAAGCGACACGAGGCTGCAATTTGAGCAGGCAAGGAGTTTGGGGTTCTGCCCTGCTCCTCCCCAGAGACAGCGCGGTGGATTTGGGTTATAGCGCGGAGCCAGGCTGTTGCTAGTAACACGCTGTGTTTACATTCCACATTCCACAAAGTCCAACGCTCCGGCCTGCCCCAGCAATGCTGCCACTCGGCTGCACGCTCAGCCGGGCTGGGAGCCTTTCCCAAGCACCTCTCACTCACGTAAATGTGTTATTTACCTCCACCGACAGAGCAGAACCCCAAATTACGGCCGAGAAAGCCGAGGTGCGGGGCAGCCCCGCAGCCTGCAAGCACAGCCTCGCCGTGCCCGGGGAGATGCAGGCAGCTTCGGGGCTGTTCTCTTCAGTCACATTACCTCACTCGGAAATAATGCTGTCAAAAAGAGGAATTTTTAAGGAAGGGGAGTTGGCAGCGACAGCGCCGTTCCTCTGAAATGCCTCGTCAGTCATTTCAGATGTACATCCCTGTGGACGTGCTCCTTTTCCCCTTCTCCTCGGGGGCTTGGGAGCTCCAGGGGAAGAAGCAGCAAGAGGAGGGCGATGGAAATGAGTGGGGAATGGAGGGGGACAGGAGGGGGACCCCACAGGGCTCAGCTGCTGGGCTGGAGGAGGGCACCCCTGTGGGCTGGGGAGCTGCAGGTTGCTGAGGGAGGACTGGGGGAGGACTGACAGAGGACAGGCTTCCTAGGAAAAGGCTCCTGGCAGGAGTTGAAGGGCTGGGAGAGCCCCGGGAGGCTCTGGGGGGTCCTGTGGGAGGTTTTGGGATCACATCGTGGCCGTGCTGTGTGCCAGGTCCCAGCTCTGCTCAGGCAGCCCGCAGGCTGAGGGGAGGCGTGTGGGGTGCCCCACACACGTGTGTGCCCAACAAATGTGTGTGAACAACAAATGTGTGTGCCCAACACCCGTGTGTGCCCAAACTCGTGTCCTGTTTTCCACTGAGGTGTTTATTTAGGAACTGCCGCCCCGCCTCACAGGGGACACATTGGGGGTGCTCGGCATGGCACAAACTGGCTCCATTTAGCCCCAAAACCCAATCCATTCCCTAGGGGGTTCCGCTGAGGGCTAGCACGGCTCTCCCTGGCCCTTCTCTCTCCCCCCAATTTCAGCACGGGGCACACGACGCCCCCTGCCCCCTTCCCACCCCGCCACCCTCATGGCGGGGCGGCGGGCCCCTCCACCTGAGGAGAGGACTACAACTCCCAGAATCCCCCGCGCAGCCCGCCTCTCCGTGCCGCGAGGCACTGTGGGACTCGTAGTCCTCACCCATTGACCCCCGCGCTCACTGAGTGGTTCCGGCCCCCACCCCGCGGACTACATTTCCCGTCGGGCAGCGCGGCGGGCCCGCGGCCCTTTGGCGGAGACATTTGCCAGCCGAGTGTCTCCAAGATGGCGGCGTGGGGAAGGAGGCGCGGCGGCCCCGGCAGCACCAACAGCGGTGGCGGCGGCCGGGAGAGGTGAGGCCGGGGCCGGGCAGGGGCTTTAGGGGCAGCCGGGGTTTTTAGGGGATGCTCGGAGGCGGTGGGGAGCGAGCTGCGGCCCTCGGGGCTCCCCGCGACCCCGCGGCAAGGGCGGGGGCCGCGCTGAGGGGAGCGGGGCCGCGCTGAGGGGAGCGGGGCCGCGCTGAGGGGAGGCCGCGGCCTCGCTGAGGGGAGCCCGGAGATGGGGGGGGGGAGGGGGGAGGCGGTTTGGTGCCCCCGGGACCGGCCCTGGGTTTTCAAGAGGAGGCCCGGAGGCTTGGGGAGGGGTAAGGGAAGCCCTAAAGAGCGGGCTCGTTAAGGGACGGCGGCGGCCGCGGCTGTTCCCGCGTGGGTAGAGCGGGACCGGGGGCCGGGGCGGAGGAGGCAGGGCCGGGCAGGGCCGGCCGGCCCCCGGGAGGCTCCTGGCGAGGCTATTTTTAAATATAAAGGCGGGGAGGGCACCGGCGGCTCCTCCAGGGTGACCTCCTGCCGGGGGTGGCCGCCCGAGGTGCGGTGTTCGCCGCTTGCCAGCTCGCGGGGTCGGTGGCTCCGTTTTTTGTGGCTCCTGCAGCACCCAGGGGGTGCCAGGACAGGCTAGGAATACCCAGGGGATATCTGTGGGGGAGCTGAGACCCTATCTTTAAGGACTGGGGGCAAAAAGGGACGGGAGGAAACCGTGCTGAGCTGTTCTGAGGGCTGTGCGCGTGGTTCTTTACCTGCTTAAAGCGTCTGCCTAAATCCCGTGGCTCCTTACGTTGGCATTTTTCTCCGTTTCGCCCTAGGGCTGACTGATGTAACCGGCAGCTGCTGCGAGCAGCTGCGTTTTCATTGTGAGGAGATGTTTTCTTTTGTTTTCCCGCCTTACTTAGTGACCGTGATATCCCTTTGATTTTTTTTTGTTGTTGTTTTTGCCTCGTTTTGCTCCCTTGCTGTAATTAAAGGGGACTGTATTTGGTGGTGCTGAATCTACATAGCCGTGGGGAGTCGCAGGTAACCCTTAATGTTCTGTGAAGAGCAGAAATTCTGCCCGTGCCAAGGGGATCTGAAAGCAATTGAATTGGAAGAGCTGATGGAATCACTACATCAGCCTAGGTTGTATAAACAGCTCAGAAAGCCACAGAGCTCAGTGGCACGGTGGGAAAACGGCACCCACTGCTGGCGCCTGCCCCGGTGCTAAAGGCACGAGGCGAGGAGTTCTCACGCTGTGGTGCTGCGCTCTCAGGAGAAGTGGAGAAAAAATATGGAAAAGAGCACTCGCCTTCAGTGAAAATTAATCTGCCTGGATGAAAATTGATGCAGACTTAAAAGTGAGTTGTTACCTGTTAAGTTAGTCTGCGAGCTATGCAGTAAGCTAATTGTAGAACGTAATTGCAGTTTGTGGGGATTTTTAGGCTCTGATTACTCTTGATCTTATGATCCAAACCACTTGTTCATAAACATGAGCTGCTTTGGGAGCATTCAGCATGCATTATTCTCCTTCTACAACGAGAAGCACGTCGCTAGGCATAAGAAAGCACCAAAGTGACACAGCAGGGCAGCAGGTGATCTGCGTGACTGTTACACCACTCTTTCACAACCCTTATCAGGGGACGGGGGCTCTGTTAGGTGGCCTCCCGCGTGGCTCCTGCTGTTACCTGGTGCCGGGTGGTGTCAGCAAGGCAGCAATCCTGCCTTCTTCGCAGCTGCAGACCCGGAGATGCGCGTGACTGGGCCTCTTGATCGGTGGTTAACTCTAAATCACACCTACCAGGCTCGTTTGGCTGCTGGCAGTGCGAGGTGTGGGAACGGTGGGGCTGGCGGGCCTGATGTCATCAGCTGGTGACGTAGGCTTTTCATAAAATGAGCACAATTTTCCTACATCGGGCGGGATTCCTGCCCCAAGACGCGTTCCTTTGAACTGAGTGCGCTCAGCCAGCTCTCCTCGGAAACGGGCGGCTTCAAGGTATTTTTAGAGTCGTCAGCCAGCTCGTCTAGAAAGACATCAGTGTGTTGGGAGGTGGTGTTGAGGTTTGGTAGTGAATAAAATACTGTCTGGTGTTAGACTCGACCAGCTTTCTCTTTAATAATAAAATAAAAAAGCTCAGCCACTGTCTGTGGAGACTCTCTCCCTTCATAAATGACTTCATTGATGCAGGGGAGTCTGTAGCTGGTCAAAACCTGCTTTCCTCTACAGGACTGAAATGTAGGGATGTGAATTTCAAAGGATACTGGCTGTGAACTCCAGCTGGCTCTCTGCTGGTGGAAAAAAAAATGAAGTTTAAAAAAAAAAAAAGAGAAGCAACTAAATATTTGTGTTTCTGCATTCTGGATAGACTCATTAATGGAGACTGTCTGAAGGGAATTGTTAATCTGTAGAGCAAAACAGCTTCTAATACAGAACAGACACTGAATTGTGCTTGGGGTTTCTGTATGGAATTGAGCACGGTGACCGCCAGAACACAGGACAGAATGCTGTTTGTTCCCCGGGGAGATGTTCTAACAAGCTGCAGAAAGAAGAGCTCTCGTGCCATCGCTGCTCCTCGCGTTGGCTTCTCCGCACCCCTGAAGAGATCTCTCCTCTCGCTACCTGCACTGCTCGGATTTCTGGTACTCTGTTTGCTTCCAGCAATGATTGACCCGTTTCCATTAGCCTAGCTAATCATTAGTTG